CATCGCATGGTTTCAAAAATCTCATAATTAGAAACTTCCTTAAAACCTAAATAAACACTTTCTGCGGGCATAAAATATGAAGACAATGCGATTTTCTACCAAAAGAGTAAAAAAAGCATAGTTTTGTATGGTTTCCATAAAATATACTTGAATTTATAAGACCATCGAAAATCAATGTGAAAAATGCAGGCTACTTAAGAAGTTAATTTTTGCCGAAAGTTGTTTTTGCAGGAGGTTGAAAAGAAAGGCATTCAAAAGCCGACATCCTGGCGAGTTGGAAATATTATAGGATTGTGCCGCACGATAATCAATACTACAACCGCACCTAAGTAATTCTTTCTAATCGAAAACGCGTTTCAGAATTTTGGCCAACATTTAATGAGATCGGTCACACACTACTTATCCGACCGCAGCTGCGCCAGATAGGCGGCAGGTAATCAAACGGGTAAAACAATCGTACTGTCGCCCCCTTTGCTGAACAAAGGATTGCAAGTGCACACGCGCATGAAGTGATCGATACCTGAATGAGATCGAGAGAACCGATAAATCGGATTCGCCTCCAGTTTATTGTTCAGGGCATTAATTTTCTGCCGTCTCTAAATTTTAGCCTGTACATATAGAAAGCAAGATGGTTTTCGAACAACTTCTCAAGGATATTGAGGCAGCTTTTCCAGCTGAAAGTGCACCCGGTTCTGAAGCCAATCGCATGTTGCGGGAATTGGTGAACTCTGTGCGCAGGAAGCTTACAGAAACCTGGACAGGTGAGTCCCAAACTTATCTTCTCACCTCACCTTAACAATTATTTAGAAACTCGCGAACTCAAAACACCTGTTCGGGTGAAATCCAGTCATGTTGCTTCGTATCGGAGGGTGCTGCAAAAATTAAAGGTGCGTTTTGCCGTAATTGTTTTCGAATGTCACATGCGAAGAAGTATTTCTATGGGTATTTGGGGAGTTGTAGTATTTGTTGCATCCGAAATTCGCATGGCAATGTCCCTGTGCATCGTGTAGTTTTGTTCTCTACATTTTGCTGATAATGTATGTGGTCAAAATAGTTCGCCAAAAATGACTCAAAATTGCGAAATGATAAGTGGGCTTGCAGAAAACTTCTCCCGCTCCAATGGCGAATGCGCATGGAACCTAACCACTCTAACTTCCCTTACCTATGTGCCCATAGGCACGGAAAGCTGGGATGGAATGGTAAATGACTAATTCTCAGATGGAATGTCATAGAATTCACGCTGGTCGAAAGCCATCATACACGGCTGCATCCTGAAGCCGGCGACCACACGTGGATCACTTCATGGACATTCGTTTACATATCAAGAAAAACATGATCTTGACAACCTCCCTCATTCCACCCACCCGAACCCCCGACTAATCGTTATTAGACCACCTGCGAAGTTCTGGCCTCAAACTTTAACGGTCGAATTGGACAACAATATTCCCTTATGAAGTCGAATGTGTGGAACGCCGCATGCAAGGGAAAGAGGATTCGGATAAAATGGAGGATGCGCCGTGCGCGGACTGGCGCCGGCTACTATAGAAGGCATCCTCATTGATACTGCACTGTAAGCATTCTGTGGATTTAAAAGGTTCGTGGTTGTTGGGATCGGACAATGCTCAAAAATGAGCAACCGAGAGAGGGAAACTTGAATTTCCGTTTCTGGGTTATCTACGTTCATCAAACAGTGATATCTTAAGCCCAGGATGCACAACCGAGGTCCAAATCTGAGTTAATTTACCATAACTCAGTGCTCTCATCACTATACTACCTGACACGCGTCATTTTGGCCGAGATTGGAAGTATTTAGTCACAGAAGAGCGAAATGTACCAGTCTATCTTGCTTGCCAGACGAAGATGACATTTTGGG